AGGGGGTGAGGGTTGTTGGTTGTTGTTGTTGACGTTGTTGTTGACGTTGTAGTCATTGTTGTCGTTGGCGTTGTTGATGTTGTTGTCATTGTTGTTGTTGTCGTTGGCGTTGTTGATGTTGTTGTCATTGTTGTTGTTGTCGTTGTTGTTGTCATCGTTGGTGTTGTTGTTGTCGTCGTTGTTGTTGGTGTTGTTGTCATTGTTGTTGTCGTTGTCATTGTTGTTGTTGTCATCATCGTTGTTGTTGTCGTCGTTGTTGTTGTTGTTTTCGTCATTGTCGTTGTCGTTGTTGTCGTCGTCGTTGTTGTCGTCGTGTTTTGTCGTCAGACTGTACACAGAGCTGAGAGGGTGGGGGTCGTTGGTTGTTGTTGTTGTCGTTGTTGTTGTTGACGTTGTTGTTGACGTTGTTGTTGACGTTGTTGTCATTGTCGTTGTCGTTGTTGTCGTCGTCGTTTTTGTCGTCGTGTTTTGTCGTCAGACTGTACACAGACGATAAGACATGTCCACCGTCACCCTCCTCTGTCCTTATACCAGCCCCCGCCCCCTGACTTTAACCCTGACTTTAACCCTGTTTTTTTTTTTCTTGACCTTTTACGTCACTGAAAACTGTTTTTTTTTTTTTGTTTTTTTTTTACCAGATTCGCGGTGGCTTTTACCGACAGACTGAAGGAGGAGGCGGAGTCACTCTGGGTAACTTACTCTGTTGTACTGCAGTAGTACTACTCACCTGTTAGTATAAACCCATCTTTGGAGGAACTGACATCAACGAAGACGTGAAAGTCCAACAGAAGCGTCTGGTCATGGAGCAGGTTCTGCAGAAGGCCAGGTGAGGCTGCTGACCCTTGACCTTTGACCTTTGACCTTTGACCTCGGTGCACACCGAGACACACGGGGGGCTTGTTTCTCCTGTTGTCTGGTGGTGGATGTGTGTCATCATTAGCTTTGTTGTTGTTGTTGTTGTTGTTGTGGTTGTTGTTGTTGTTGTGATACCGTTTTTGTCCACTAGTTGGCTCACCCTCTCACGTGTCAAACTGTTTGCTGTGGAGATCTAACACCTGTCACGCAGTTCAACCCGTGGCTGCGTCAAATGTTCCGTCCCATCTGTCCCCGTCTGTGGCCTGATGGGAGATTTTTTTTTTTTTTTTTTTTTTTTTAACTTAATCTTCACGTTGCAGACGTAGCAGAGCTCAGATTAAGATTAGATTATTCTAATTTCCTCTGGGCTTTTAATGGAATTTAAAATGATTTTTTTTTCCGGTGCGTTCACGGTCGTCCGTTCTCCCAGGGTTCATCAGTGGTCGTCATGGAGACGGTCAATAATCAGAGCTGGGATTAATATCACCCCAACTTTATTGACCCGCACTGGGGCAACAGACCGAACACAGTCAGTAGAACCAACACTGGGGGGGGGGGGGGGGCTGAGAGGGGGGGGGTTGTTGTTGTCGTTATTGTTGTTGTCGTGGTTGTTGTTGGCATTGTTGTTGTCGTTGTCGTTGTTGTTGTTGTTGTCATCGTTGTTGTTGTTGTTGTTATTGTCGTCGTTGTGCTTGACGTTGTTGTTGACGTTGTTGTTGACGACGTTGTTGTTGTCATTGTTGTTGACGTTGTCGTTGTCATTGTTGTTGACGTTGTTGTTGTCGTTGTTGTTGTCGTTGTTGTTATTGTCGTCGTTGTGCTTGACGTTGTTGTTGACGTTGTTGTTGACGACGTTGTTGTTGTCATTGTTGTTGACGTTGTCGTTGTCATTGTTGTTGACGTTGTTGTTGTCGTTGTTGTTGTCGTTGTTGTT